ACACACACACACACACACACACACACACACACACACACACAGTGAGATTGCGTGTTCAAATTAATGTAATTACAGAATGTACACTTTAACCACAAATGTTTAATACAATTCTGAAAAGGGAAACCTAATTACTTATTCCCAGTGGTTCAGTTAAAATTACTTTTAAATTCAACTAAATATCTTTATCCATTTGTAAGTTGCTGAAAAAAATGTGAAATTAATTTCCATTATGTGTTTAGATCATTCCTGCAACAGAAACTCTGCAGCTCTAGGAAGTATAACTGAATCATGATTTCCATTCACGTTATAAGGAAATGTTGATTGAATTTGACACTTCTATTGATTACATATTTAGTTTAAACTTCTTTAGACTTATAAAGCACTTACAGTAAGTGAAGGGTAGGATTTGATGATGGTTGGCTTTAACATATAAATAAGATCTTCCTTTATCCCTTAGGCATGAGCATATCTTTAATGGTGTGGCCTTTCAGTGCAGGAGCAGAGTAACAGAAAATGTTCCTTTACTGAGCAAAGACATTAATAATAGATACGCTATGATGACGCGTTTACCCATTCTGAAAAACAGTTTTGTTCTGCAAAATATTTCATTTAGCATTAATTCTATAAGCAGCTTTTAAAATAGTACTGTAAAAGTATTTAAAGTAACAACCTTTTAAACAGACCATAGATTCAGGATGGACAGCTTGTGATTCTCAGGACCTTTAATTTCGGCAAAAACGAATTTACATTCAAAGCATTATGTGAAAGGATATGAGACTGAATTTAGGAACATTTCAACCTCAGTGAGGTTAGGCTGCATTAGCACTTTCACAGAGTGTCCTAGTTTATATTAAAAATGCCATTATATAACAAACTCTCTCTAACAGTACGGTCCACTAGCTCTCGATCTTATCAGCTCTTTCAGCAGATGGAGTTGGCCGAGGTTAATTTTTCAGTTTTGTCATATGTGCAGCACCTTCTCTATAACACATCAGTCACACACTGAAGCCCTGAGGTTCAGAAACTTGCCCAAGGACACTCTGTCCCCTGCAGCATCCACGTGCCCTGCTGTAACTGAAACTGTAACTTATTCTGCAATGACAAACGTCACCACTTGGAGCAGCATTGCTCAGGTGATGCAGTGCTTCAGTTTGCAGTCTGAGAATAGATACTGTTGGTTTTTAATAACACTGCTGATTAAGGCCAACATATATTAGTGATTTGCTGCCACATTATCAACAACCAGAGTGGTGTGCTAACTATAATGCTTTTCTTGCCACTGCCTTTTATTAAATCTACTTTGGAGCTAATTTCTTCATATTTTAACCTGCACTGAATTT